ACACATAAAGAAGATAAAGTGTGAAACTTATATATATATATATATATATATATATATATATATATATATATATCAAGGAAAAAGGGGTCAACATTGAGTACTACAAGTTCACCTAAGCCAAGAGACACAAGTCAAAAAACCAAGAAATCGGGTTATTAACTACCCCAACACTAGAAGAAATATAAAATTTACGAACCCATGTTCGACTAATCCTTTTGATAGGAATATTATTGCATACATCATAAGGGTGAACTTGAAGCTTCTTAATAAAAAACATTTTCCTTTTTACTAGCTAGGGTTATCTCCTTCAAATGACACGTATATACGTATAAACATAATCTATATATCTAGGACAACGCATTTGTAAGTTGACAATATATTTATATATATATATATATATATAAACACATTGTAATGCTCAATTGTCAAACAATTTATCACTGAAAACTTGTCCTAGATATCTAGCGATTCTCATTTCGTCAGATTTTAAACAAAACTAAACCACATTCATAATGACAATGAAAAGGCTTGCACGTTCTTTTGCCAATCATTTAACCTAGAATCAGATAGAATGAAGCATGCGTGGCATATATACACTATAGCTGCTACGCACGTATATATGTACGTGTTAACATTAACATATATATTTATACACACACACAGATATATATATATATATATATATAGTCCATGTCTTTTCTTGTTGTCTGCTTATACTAAGATACACACACATGTGTACGAACATATAGTGTTTTGCCCAACTAGCAAAGGTGGAATTATAGCTTTGAGAAAAAGCATTAATGAGAGAAGAGATAAATATGATCAGAGGGGATATGTGCTCAAGTAATATTAATTAAGTTTAGATTAAGATTTGTTAACGATCGATTATAACATAATTAATTAAGAACAATTATTATACTTTATTAACTAGGAAAGGACAATTATTCTTTGTTTAATTAATTCCAGTCGTTCATTGAGAAATTTTTTTTTGTTTATATACTACCAATCGACGTGGAGTGCATGTTGGCATTTTTCTACATATTTCGTGTGTATATAGGATGCATGGTTATATATATATATATATATATATATATATAGATCTCAATCCACTTAGCATTAAAAAACTAGATAGGTTACTTGATTTGAAGTTAGTACTGAAAGATCTGATATAATAGCTATTATATTGTCATTAATAAAAACAAATATATGGTAATCTGGCAGAATGAAAAGGCAGTACTAACAAATATGAATAAATGTTTTTCTGTTGGATATTTATGAAATATTGAGCTTTTTTTTTTTTCCTAGTTCATTTTAGTAACAGGGAATGAAGATTTATTTTGCAATATATCCTCGCCTATATAATGAATTGGTTTCGTGTGCCCAGAGTACAATTTGATTTCAAATACAAGTTTGAAGAAACCACAAACACAGAAATCGCAACATTTAATGTGTTTGTTTGCTAATTATGACTTTCGTTTGCTTTACAAAGAAAAATTAATGATTAAATCTACATATTCAAAAGTGCGCTCTCCACTGTCAAATATTTAACTAGCTATTAGCTAATTTAGTTACAATATTTTGGACATATATAATGTGTCATTTCTTCTGACGCCTAATTGAGGCATTTATCGTATTGCATATATTCAATTGATACGTAGAAAAAGAAACCACCTTATATATTGCAAAATTTATTTTCAATTTGTAATCTTTTAATTATATCCATATTTAAACAAGTTAAATCACTAGCTAGCTAGCTACGTCGAACTTATTGATACTTTGTGATTTCTAATATACTTTGCGTTAAAAAGGGCATATAGATATAGCTAGCTCATTTTTCTTTAGTTTAATTATTAAGAACAGTTACTATTTGCGGAATAATTCAGATGATCATAATTTCAAGATAATATTTTTTTTTCCACTCAACATTAATCCTAGAAAGAATATTGGAAATGCAGTTTCAAAAGTTCTGGCGTGTTGTGATTGGTCGTACTTGAAAGAACCATATGACCAAATTAAGGTCTCCCACTACAAAAACAAAAGATGACTACAATTTTTAGGTTTTTCTTCAACATAAAAAAAAAATAAAATAAAAAAACACACACACACACATTTAAAGTCCTAAAAAATTATTCAGAAAAAAAGACAAAAATAAAGAAAGAAAATCATGAAGCAAATGATAATTTCCCCTTCTGATCAGACGGTTAATATTGTTAGTAAAGAGCAAGATTTTAGACTTGTAAGCAACACCATATAAGAAATTCCACAACTAGGACACGTAAACGTGGTGATGACGAAATGGATGATGGAATGGTTGAGTAAGATTGCAATCAAGCTATAAGGGCAGTGTGGTTTGTGTAGGAAAATAGGAATAAGTAATTTTCAATTTTTTTTTTTTTTTTTAGAAAAAGGAAAAGGAATAATGGCAAGTTTTATGGCTTTTTGTAACAATAAAAAAAAAAATGCTGACATGGAGCTTTGCCCTTGGATGACCCATCCCTCTTGGCCACCATAACTCCACAAATCATTAGTTCCTCTTTCTCTTTCACAACCCAATGTCGGACCCCACCTATCCCTCACAAAAAAAAAAAAAAAAAACACTGATAAAATTTATATTTTTTTTCATCACTTTAGTGTGTGAAATTGTTTGTTTATAACAACAGGAAATAATGTTGAATTTTTAAGGGGCTTGGGGAAAGCTGCAGACCTTATGAGGATCTTTATATAAAGGTGGGTGTGGGTGTGGGGCTTTTTGGGTCCTTACAAGTTGTTTGTTTTGGTGAGGCCTTAGCTACTTATAAAACTTTTAAATTTTGTGCCTTTTTTAATTCTAGCTAGCACTTCAAGAACTTTCCTTAGCAATACTAGCCAGTCCTTTAAGTGTTAACATTAATACATATATATATATATATATATTGTAGCTTAATTTTTAGAGTAGTACTCAATATAATTACTAGATAGTATAATATATACAATGGGGAGGCAACCTTGTTGTGACAAACTAGGGGTGAAGAAAGGGCCATGGACGGCTGAGGAGGACAAGAAGCTCATCAACTTCATTCTCACCAATGGCCACTGCTGCTGGCGGGCCGTCCCCAAGCTCGCGGGCCTCCGCCGCTGCGGCAAGAGCTGCCGCCTCCGCTGGACCAACTACCTCCGTCCCGACCTCAAGAGAGGCCTCCTCACCGAGGCTGAGGAACAGCTGGTCATTGATCTTCATGCTCGTCTTGGAAATAGGTTGAACATCCTCTCTAATAATATTTTTCATGTAAATACGTATGAATGATCGTAATAAATAGTATAATATGTTTTGGTAATGATTACTGCGGCATTTTTTTGTAATTTGTTTTTGGAGCAGTGTAAGATGATGATGATGATGATTATAACTGATCATGATTAATTTAGCATATTATAACGGGCTTCAATTGGCGTAGCTTGTTTAATTTCAATTGGACAAAAGTTTTTTGTTTTGTTTCTCTAATTGACAAGATATATATATATATATATATATAATATTGAGGTTTTATTTTTTGTTGTGTATACATAGCTGTAGTTCCCGGGTTGTTTTCAACTTAATTTCTTTGTGTTCAATCATGATCAATTTGAAAAACATTAAACGTATGCTCAAAGTATTTATAATATCTTTTTTTTTTTAAAATTAGGCTATAGTTGACTCTTTTGAAACAGCTAGCCAAACTAATTTCTTGACCGTCTACACGGATATGCTTAATTAAGTCACGACCTACAGTATCATTTTTTCTCTTAATTTCCTGTAACTTCATGACTTTAGAAGATATATGATCATATTATTATGTACTGGCAGTAAAAATGTGTTTAAAACGTGAGTACCCATATTTTTTGGTTCATGATAATTCATTCTAGCTCTTAATGTCAATATATTCTGTGATCTTTTCATATTAAAATCAACAACTATTTGATCTTTATTTTATAAATACTTACAATCAGGAAGAAAAATTCTTGATGATTTAGACTTTTTCTACAGTTCTGATAGACGTGACTATTACGTCAGCAATTTGTTTGCTTAATCTTCAAATTAGGTTAATTATAATTTCTTGATGAACAAACAAGCCCAATATATATTATTAATTTCTCTACTATATATCATGTATATTGTTTGTTGAATCTTTCTTCTTAATTTGTTCTGATATTTTCCCATTTTGGGCAGGTGGTCCAAGATTGCATCAAGATTGCCAGGGAGGACAGATAACGAGATCAAGAATCATTGGAACACCCATATCAAGAAAAAGCTTGTCAAGATGGGAATTGACCCTGTCACTCATGAACCCCTCCACAAAGAAAATGTTGATGATCAATTACCATCAAACAAAAAGACAATATTGGAAACTACTACCACTCCAGTACAAGATGTTAATAGTACTAGTAACATCATAAATAACAGCTTGCCACAAAGTACTGAAAACCCTATTCATCATCTCTCACAAGAAAGTTCCGGTAGCACCATCAACTCGGAGGAGGTCAACTACTCGAGCTCGTCGCCTGCCGCCGAGAACTCTTCTGCCTCCGGCGACAACGAGTCCACCCTTTTGTTAGACAACCTTTGCAACGACGAGTCTTTGATGAACAACGTCTTGTGGCCGGTGGACAAGTCTCCCCAACTTACTAGTGTTGATCATGCAATATTGTGGAGCTCATCATGTCATGATGATCATCATCCAACATTAAGTGGAGAAAAAGTAGTCAATAGTGACATGGGAATACTGCCATCTTTTGAGGACAACTGCTCATGGCTTTTGGATTGCCAGGATTTTGGGATTCAAGACTTCGGATTGGATTGTTTCGACGATTTCGAATTGAATAATGCCCTTAACACCTTAGAAATGGGACAAACTACGCACTAGCAAGTATATTTATATAAAGTATATATCTATATACTTTGTATACACACACACACATATATAAATACACATGTTTATAATGAAGTGCTAGTGCAGTGAGAAGTCACCGTTTAGAGGAAGAAATGGCAAGCGATTTCCGAGTTAGTGAACATGATCTGCTGCAAAGTACAAAGTCCAAAGTACCATGCAAGTCTGGTTCATGATGGAGTACTCTTGTTTATTTATTAGGTTTTTTTTTCGATCAATGGTGGTGATCATCATCATCAATTGTCATGTGTTGTCATATTAATCATGTGATATGAACATATTATAAGTACGTACGTAAAAGTTGTATAGAATTTTCTCGGAAGGTAGAGGGGGTTGAACTTCGCTTTCAAAGCACTGCTAGGTTTCTCACCAACCAAAAAAGAAGACAAAATTACCATACCAAACTGAATCAAAGGAAAAGAAAAATGTGTTATTTAATTATAGTATTTTGTTACTTCAAGTTATTGTAATTGTCTTATGCTGTAAAAGTTAGGAGCACACGTTGAACAATGTCAAAGTGTTGGTAGGTTTTGTCAAATACGAAACCTTCTCTGATGTGTACATACATATAATCATGTACATACTTTTATGATGGAAATAAAACAGGAAAAGAAAAGCTAGTAAATTATTGAATTTTTATTTTATTATATTATCATTAGATATATATTTTATACATTTGAGTGTGCGAGACGAAGAGGAGCTAGGGAGAGATGTTCGAACATAAATTTTGTGAGTTTTCTTTCAAAGATGGCAAATTATAAGTGACAACTTATCTAATATCTAGTCAGACACCCCACAAATCTCCACAATATATATATATATATACATATATATATATACACACACACACATATATATGCCTCTTTTTCAGTTTAGTTTTATCAACTTTTCTTTTTTAGGGTGTGTAAATGTACTATTATACGGAACTCATCCGCCATCAATTTTTCTGATTGATCATGATCTCGTAGAATCCACTCTTGCTACAAGTTAGCTAGCTAGGTTGAGCATTTGGTCATTTTCGAGGTGAATACCTCATCGCAATTGTGGGCGCGTTGTACACAATATTCTCATGATGTCATGAAACGTTATAACTTGATTTTTCCTATAAACTATAGAATCAATTATATTAATATGATAAAGAATATAAGGATATGCACACATCCAATAAATATATGAAATCTCAAGAAAAAAATAGCAATAAATATGTGGAATAATGTTTATCATATGACCAATTAATTGAACTAATTATTAGACAAACAAAATATAAAGAATTTTATATGTAGGATAAAGCAAATTAATGTATGTACGTGCTTCCATTAATTAAGGGAAAGAACTATTGATCATATTGTTGCAACTTGCAATGTGCATTTGTAACTAATATTCCGTTAAACTAAATTAATTAAATCTAAATCTTTTGAAGTACAATATATCATGCTTTTGTGGAGAATTGGCATGATAATGCCATACATACATGGGATCAACAAGATTCCAAGCAATATATATAATTGCAAAACTAATTAAAATTTCAGGATTTTGAGCGTATAACAATGTTTTCTCATAGAAATTTGTGGCATATAACTTGATCGTCACTGAAGATGATGTTATTAATCGTGTACTATAAATAAATCTTTTGATTTTACTCTTTTGTCTCCTATGATATATCCATTAGCGGTTGTGAATGCGCTTGTGGTCCAATATTAATTATTACTTAATCTTTTGATCAAAGCGCATAAACTCCATTATTTTACTCCCTCCCTCTTATCTTTTTTCTCAAAGAAAAATGGATCAATGAGCTAAGTAGATACATAGCTAGTTTTTTTTTTATTTTTTTTATTTTTTTTTATAGAGTCTATTTGTGTGTTTTTATTATTATTATTATTATTGTTATGCATAGTCTATATAATGGGGACTGATTCAGTAGTGCGCACATTTTTCTATCAATTAATTTGAGTTTTTTTTTTTTTTTTTTTTTTTTTTTTTTAATTTGTATAGCTTTGTCACTTTGTCAGTTGTCATCATTCAAGGGAGCTTCTGGGAGAATAAAGCTGGAAAGAACATATATGTACTCGCACTCACCTTATTAATTTCTATCAATTAGAGTTTCTTTTAATTTGTAGCAACTTATTAATAATTTCTTTTTTTATGAAGAAAAGCCGTGTCTGCCGTCAACACGCCTCTTGGGCATTATATCAAAGACTCTCCAAACGTTGATAAAAATTGTCTTTGAATATCTTACAATTGGATCTTACCCCTCCACAAGGAGAACATCTTCCTAATCTCCCTTAATATGCTAATAATTAAGGGGACATACGTGGTCTACAACACTAAAAATCGAGTAACTACACAGAAACATGTACAAATCTTCACGTTTAAGACTTTTAAAAAGAATTATCAACACTCGAATCTTTGACCACAAACTCACTAGGATTGCTAATCGGTGGTTTTTAGTTACACTGTATAATCACAGCTATGAATTCTCTCAACATTTGCAAGACATGGCGCCATGTCGTGAGCCTAAATTAATCATAATTAATAAAGATTCTTCAAGATGTTCCATTAACTAGTAGCTACTCAACTCTAGAAGTTGACAGAGATGACTTAAGCCCTGGTTCCTTTTTCCTTGGCAAGATATTATTTAGAGTGAAAAGCTATATATGAGAACTAATTCTTCAAACTTTTATTAATGCTTTAAACTAAATTAGAATTAATTATGCTCCTGCAGATGTGTCGTTTAGTTATTGATCATCTTTTTCTTCTTGTAAGTTTAGGGTGTACTTAAATAAGTAATTAAACACCACTCAATTACGTGGGAAATTAAACACTATCTTCACTCTAATAATTAATTATGCTCCTGCAGTGCACACATATGTTTCGGGAAAAAAAAAAAAAAAAACTCTCCAATAATAATTATAGTCACCGGTACGATGTCTATACATATAAATATATGTGTATAGTGTGTGTGTGTGTGTTTAATATTGAGAGGGACTACGTATTGAATAAAAATATAGGAATCATTACGATTATTGGCCAAAGTTCACGCCCAATTAAAAACCAATTACAGCATATCGTACAGTTTATTTACGTCACCATGATCTCTATGGATCATATATTCAACGGGAAAATTACTTGTACTGTACTACACGACTAAATTAATAATCAGCTTCAAAGTCATTTGGAACAAGAAAATTGAAATATCAAAGAAAGAAAAAACTTTATTGGATAAAAGTTCTCAAAAATGCAAACAATGATTAGTATTATTGATGACTAGAGACGACTTAACTATCACTTACAAACAGATCAGCTTAAATTCAACGCAAGTATTTGTCAGTAAGCACTAATTAAAGGTTTAAGACATATTTTTCTTGTCCGAATCTGATCCAAGTAATATAATTGTTTTCAATGCGTTTACTAGGGTTACTATTGACTTGCCTAATCATGATGTCAATATATATATATATATATATATATATTTATATGTATATGTATATATATCTTTATGTTTTGAGGATGAATACATATGAATATATTAATTCCTTAAGAAACAAGTGATTAAGACTAATTATATGTGTGTGTATTGATATGTACATTGTTTGAGAAGTTATGTTATCCAAGTTGCATAATTAGCTGAATATATTTTATTAGTAATCATTCATAATGAGCTGTTCTCTGGATTAAAATTTCCCTATGTACTCAATAGTGGCCTTGACATAAGCAGTGGAAAGAATTTGCTAGACAGCTAAATTATCCCAAAAGTGAAAACTAATACATATCAGGAGAGATCGAAAAAACAACAAAATGACATAATATTATTATAATGAGAGGTGGGGTAGGTATTAATAAGCTATATGAAATGAAGATCAATTCCAATAACCAAATTAAAGATTTCATGGTGGTCTCTTTGCATCATTTGCCTCGTCCTAATTTTGTGTAACCGAGACCGAGAGTATTAAAAACGCAGAGAAGTAAGTAAAATAAGCAAAATCGACACAGAATTTATAGAGATTTACTTCAATATTGTGAGATTATGTTTTTTTTTTTTTTTTGGCCGCTGCAGTTTTTCACTGTAATGAAACAAAAGTTACAAGAGAAAAATCACACACTGCACAACTCTTTACGTTTTTTTCTCAACCTCTCTAATCTCTGCATTTGGTAATATTGTCTTCAGTTTAGGACTTTTAGAATGCTATTTAACCTGACTTTTATAAATTCATGATTTAGTTAACTAGGATGACAGTAAGCTTTACTAACGGTTGGCATCAAATAGGTTTTGCCGCAACCGGCCAGTTCAATTCGCCATATATAGTAAATTATTATTATACATGTTACACAATTCAATCCAGTCTAATCCATATAGAAAGTTTAATCCAATCCAATTGGATTTGAATTTTGGACAGGATGCGGTTTTTAGCTTTAGAAAGTTCTCTTATCTTTTTTTGTGAAGTTTGACCTAAATGTTTTTCATTTTTATTCTGAAAACATGGTTTTTGTGTTGTGAAGTGTGAAGTTTGATCTTACTGTAAGCTTATCCCCGCTTCTCTCTTCCTCTCCTTGGGACTCCGGCGGCCAACAAGTCTAGGAATCAAAGGTTTTTTATTTTTATTTTTGTTTGAACTGAACTGCGAAGTGAGTTTTGAATTTGATCAGAAAGATGTTTATAGTCTTTTATTTATTTATTTTGTTGATCTGAACTGAAAAATGCATTATGCAATACTTTGTTGGATCATGGAATGGATGATTTTTTTGGAACCGAACAATTATTATTGGACTAAGTTTTCATTTTTTATGTGGTAAGATTTTATTAAAGGCCTGTTTAGTTCCGATACTTAAATATATGATTTTGATATTTTTCATCTCATAAAAAATTTGAATTTAAAAAATTCTTATTAATGAATAAGAATCACTAACTCGAACGCGTAAACTAAACAGATCATTAATTAAAAATTTTAAAAAACCGTATTTTGATTTGATTTTTTTAGAACCTATTAGGCCAAATACCCAACCGGCCGACCCAAACCCCGCTAAACCGTTTACAACCCGACCACAAACCGTCTACAATTCCATTGGTGGCCTGCGGTTTAGTTCTCATCTAACGCACTCTTCAAGGATGGATTAAGAATGTGGGCGATTATTAAAAAGGAAAAAAATTGTCATATCTAAACATCGTGTTTACATAAAAATATAGAAAAAGTTCAAAACTATCTTTTATAAAAATAATATTTTATTATTGACCTCCTTAATCATAATTGTTGTACTTAAATAACTTAAACAAAAGAGACAATGCTGAAAGAAGGGAGCAATAAATTTCACACTCAATTTTAAGTGTAATCTAAAAGAAATACTAAAAATATATAAAATTAAATGAATTTTGATTGACAAAGATTTAACGTTTATATTTTGCTTAACGATATAAATGTCTCCCTTTATTTATTTGTTTGTTTATAAACTCATTCCAACATTAGTGTTAACTAATTTATTTATTTTTGGGATAAAATCATTTTGATATTGTGTATAACAAAACATATTCTTCCTTCTTAGTACTCTATGTTTCTGACAATATTAAAACGATATCTCAACGTTTTTAAAAATATATTCTTAATATCTTAAAGCTAATTTTTAAAGCATTTAATGTCAAAATTATCATTCTTATTAATTAATTAGAAATCATTTTAATGTTTTTAAATACTTAAAAGAAAACAACAAAATAAAAAAAAGCATTATTTTTTTTCAAAATTTATTAATTTATAATTAATTAAATAAAATAATACTTAAATGATTTTAAGTCTCAAAATTAACTTGAGTAGTAAGAAAATGTTTTGAAGAATATCAAAATACCGCTTAATATGTTTTAAAAACACTGGTACCAAAACATATTTCGGTACAACATAATGATTTTAACCCTTTATTTTTTTAGCGAATTTTTTTTTTTTATCTATTTTTTTTTTTTTTTAATCCTTTACTAGCTTGAAGTTCTACTATAACGGAATTTACTCACTCTGCCCCTAAAGCGTTTAACTTTAACCCTCAAAAACTCACATTATTTTCTTGATTCTTCTCCTTCACCGTCTCTGCTCTTCGCTATACTTTGATCTCCTCTCTTCTGCATCAATTCTCCATTTCAGGTAAACACCTCTTCCCTATCTACGATGTCGTTCGTTCTTCTCCGCAACCAGATTAGGGCTTTTCGCATTTGGGACTCTTTTTTTTTTTTTTTTGGAAATTCGCGGCTTTTTATTTTTTCGATTCATATTGTTGTCGATTATTTCATGCTTTGATTCGATACTTATAAATGGAAATACTGATATTAGCAAAGATAATGTTTGATTGTAGGGTTTTGTAGATTTTTGAAATGATTTAGGTCTTTTTTTTTTGAATTTGGGATTTCTGAAACTGTTTAGCGATCCTGTTAACTGGCTATGGAGTTCTGAATTGCCTTGCCTCTGTGCTTTGAGATTCTGGATCAAAATCTTCCTGCTAATTCTCTTGAAAAAAAAATATATCATTTCCACCTTAGCAATTGAGATTCATAATCTTTCTTGTTTTAATCTTATTTTTTGGTACCAAAAATTATTATATGGAGATTGAACGAAAACCATTTGATTTAACGAAATAGAGAACTATTGGTACATTGTACTTTCGCTTTTGAAATCATGGCCTCGGAAAAGGACCTTTGACTATGGAGAATGGTGTCATCTTCTTCTTGTGCTCTTATGCTACCAGTTGAAGCATTAGAGTTAAAAGGAGAGAAATGAGGTGAATAGTCAGGAGGATAAATGAAGTTTCTTGCAAAGAAACGATGATTAACTGTTTGAATTTGGAAGTTTGGACTTCGGTTTCTAAACCACTGGTTCTTTCACTCTTCTTTGTGTGGATGTTAAAAAATTGTTGTTGCAATGGAATAGGAAGCTATTGGTTGATGTTAAATTATGGAGTGAAAAAAGACAATAGTTAGGGGATAAATGAAGTTTCTTGCAAAAGGGCAGTAAGAATTTAATATCTTTGAATGATTATGTTGTTGGTTACTATAGCTTGAAGGAAGTTTCCTTCTAAACCAAGGTTTCCGCCTCTATTGTTGTCTCCAGGTTTTTTTATCAAGGAGTTGTCCGGTCATGGGGGATTTTAGTATCCAGATCAGCAGCAACCTGGTTAATAGTCTCGCCGGTGAGGCTGAGAAGTCGAAGAAGAAGACTAAAAGAACGAGAGCTAACCTACCGCGGGAGCCTCAACCTCAACGACCCCAAACTAAAACAAATCAGAAGCAGGTTTCTAATGATTTTGCAAAACACAAGGGACCAGCTGCTACTGGTTGGCCACTTCAGCCTCCGGTGTTCTTGCCGGTAACCCCTCCGGCACAGTCAGCCAGTGCAGAGTTAGAAGCAATCCGAGCGGTTCTTCAAGAGAGCGAGAGGGTCGTGGAGAAGTTGCAGAAGCAGGAAGAGAACATGGTGCAGGAGGTAACACAAAGAGCAAAGGAGCTTCGTGAAAAGGAGTTCAAGCTTCCCTACCAGAAGCCTTTGCCCTGCGTAGCTGAGAATGAGGCTTGCCTGGCTTGCTACAAGGAGCATCTCAAGGATCCCCTGAAATGCGCTGATCTTGTTCGAAATTTTGCAGATTGCGCTCGAAGAGTAAGGCAGCAAGTGAGCTCGGCGCAATAGTTTTTTTTAGCGAGAGAATTTTGGTTTACAAACTGAGTGCAAGCTGTTTCTACAAAATACTTGCTGTGGAAAATAAACCATGACATTGATTGGCATTTCCATCATTGGGAGTGCTTCTTGTGATCTCATATTGTTGTTTACACATTGTTTAATACATGAGTTTTTTGGCTCTCTAAACTGATATCACCTCCAAAGCGTGTCTTCCAAGTTTAACATAGCAGTCTCAGACATTACCAAGTTGTAAACTTCTAATCTGTTAGAAAGTTCTTCAAGAAAAAAACTATTCACCTATTTCATAGCTTTTTCATGTTCTGACAAATTTATGTTCTAATCTTCAAGAAGGTTTTCTTTCACACAATTAGGATGGAACCCATTTCTCAAATCCACTTGATGAATTTGCAGAGACCAAAGTGGCTGTCCTCAAGACTCAAAAGCTCTTGCATTCTTCAGCTCTCTTACACTTTTTTTCTTTGATTTGATAATTTTTATCCACTGTTTTCGAATCATGATTCATGATAAGATGGTAGAAATCCTGTCAGAGAAAAAAAAAAGGCACAAACTAAGTACTCCCACATGAAGTAGTGTGTTATGAGTCAAATATATACCATTAATAGAAAATAAATATTGGGAAACATGGTCCCGTTCTTTTCGCTGATTCGAGTTTAGAATTCGAATTTTACTATAGTAAAAAGCTCTCAGAAACAGTCACATCTAACTTTTTTGTTACAGTAAAAAACTCTCACACAACATCATATTTCAACTCGAATTAAAAACTCGAATTGGCGAACCGAACGAGCCTGTAGATTGTTGGATATGAAGTCCTAATAATCCTGTTTACATGTTATCCAGATTCCAAACAAAGATTATTAGCGTTAGTGTTATGGCAGGATAGGGAGATAAGTGGGGATACAACATAGAATCACAAGAGTGATGGAGTTGAAAAAATATCCTACGGATACATAAATTGGTAAACCTACGTAAAAAACTTCTAATCATATAAATTCATAAAAAATAAATATGAGAATTCTGTAATTCTAAATGGTAAAAATAACATCAAAATCATGTAAAAATACAAATTTAACGGAACTCTATAAATATATAAAAAGTACCGGTAAACCAACGGGAGACGGTTGACCTGCCTGTTTTAAAGAAAGAAAAACAAAAAAATCTTGATGAGATCCTTGAATTCATGCCACGTGCAGGTCACGTGAGATAGGAGGTGGAGTGAGCGAGGCGATTTCGACGCTCACTCCTCTTCTCCTCGTGTGGGCGAGGACCACTAATTTATCGCCGAGTTTTTGCGATTTCCTCGGTGCCACGTTCTTTCCCTCCAAATCGCCGATCCCATCTTTCTCTAATTCCGACTGGTCCGAGTTTTCTGTTTTCCCAGGAAATTGATCGACTCTTTTCTCCATTCTTTTTCTAGCCAGGTAACTATCCTGACTTTCTCTCTCAAAATATATTTTTCCTTTTTTTTTGGGTGCTGTTTTTATCAATGTTTCTGATTTCTTTAATTCTGGTGAAATTATTAAGAATTTTTGAAGCTGTTAATGCTGCCAATAATAATAACAACAACAATAAACATTAAACCTTTTTTTTTCTCTCTTTTGAATTGCTTAATTAAGAGCAAATTACTTATAAATGTCCATGGTCATAAAGCTAGAGCCTTTGAGCTTCATTGCAACTTTGATATTTGGGAAAGGAATGAACTTGTGGAAAATCAAGGTCTTTTTACTCTGGGTTTGTAAAATCTAATCCAAATCTGTTTCTTTTATCGCCATTGAATCTAAACTTACTATTACTGCAATGTTTGTTTCTCTGTCGAAAGCAAATTAAATGTTAAAAACTTGATGGAGATGATCTTCTATTGAGTACATTTCACGACAAGTTCTGTAAATGGTTGTTACTGTCTATAACATAACAAGTGTATTGGCATATACATGTAGTTTTGAAGGGCATATACTCACTCAAATCATTGATTCTGCTACAGTATTTTTTTCTCACAAAAAATTTAAATTTCAAACGTGAATTAAGAATCATGGTTTGAGTATACCTTCCAAACGGACCCTAAGTCACTTCTAGCAAAAACCCACTTGTCAATTTGGCTTGATTCTTGCTTCAGCTTCAGATATTTATGTTCTTTATTTATTTTGTTCATGTATTTTTTTTAATCTTCATTTGAATGCTCTATTTTCGTTTATACGATTTTGTTGACTTTGTATACATGTTCTTGAATTATTTGCATAACAATTCAATGTTGGCTTGATTTATTTTGTTATATTGTTCTATTTTTATCGTTTTTAATTGATTGTATTGGTTTTGAGCACAGATTCTACAATGTTGGCATTCAAATTTCAGTGTTGGGGTTTAAGAATTTGTTGAACTTTTGACTAGTTGAAGAAAATGGTGCGAGGAAGAGATGCCTGTTGGGAACATTGCGTCCTTGTTGATGCAAACAGACAGAAGGTTAGATGTAACTATTGTCAGCGGGAATTCAGCGGTGGCGTATATAGGATGAAGTTTCACTTAGCTCAAATAAAGAACAAAGACATAGTCCCTTGCACAGAAGTCCCAAATGAAGTCTGTGAACGAATTCGGAGCATATTAAGTGCTCCCAAGAATCAGAAAACTACCAAGAAACCAAAGGTGGATCAGGCAGCAGCCGTGGTCAATGATCGACATAATAGCTCTTCTGCTAGCGGCGGCTTCCAACCTAATGACGATGGATCTACCAGTCAGAATGGAAGCGCCTGCCCATCTTTGTTGTTTCCAAACCCTTCGCCAAATAGACAACCGGAGGTGGAAGAAGCTCAGAGGCAAAAACAAGATAATGCTGATAAAAGAATTGCTGTTTTTTTCTTCCACAATTGTGTCCCTTTTAGTGCTGCTAAATCCATGTATTACCAAGAAATGGTGGATGCTATAGCAGAATGTGGGGTGGGCTATAGAGCCCCCAGTTATGAGAAGCTAAGATCTTCACCGTTGGACAAAGTAAAAGTCGAAATACATGATTCCTATAGGAAATATAGAGATGAGTGGAGAGAAACTGGTTGTACTATCTTATGTGATAGTTGGTCTGACGGTAGTAGGACCAAATCACTTGTGGTGTTCTCGGTTACATGCCCAAAGGGGGCGTTATTTCTGAAGTCAGTTGATGTCTCCGCTAACAAAGACGATGCTAATTACTTGTTCGAGTTGCTCGAGTCTGTTGTCTTGGAGGTTGGTGTAGAAAATGTTGTTCAGGTCATAACTGATGTTGCAGCCAGTTATATTTACGCGGGACGGCTTCTCATGGCAAAGTACAATTCTTTGTTCTGGTCTCCTTGCGCGTCTTGTTGTATCGATAAGATTTTGGAGGATCTTGGTAACCTAGAGTGGGTGAACACAGTCCTGGAAGAGGCAAAGACCATGATAAGGTACATTTATAGCCATTCTTGGACTTTGAATATGATGAGAAAGTTCACCGGCGGAAGGGAACTAATGAGGCCAAGAATCAGTAGATATGTCACTAATTTCCTCTCCTTGAGGTCTATCGTGATTCAGGAAGAAAATTTAAAACACATGTTATCTCATACAGATTGGTTGTCATCCGTGCACAGTAGACGTCCTGAGGCTCAAGCCATCAAGTCCTTGTTGTATTTGGATAGATTTTGGAAGCACGCACAGGAAGCTGTTAGAATTTCCGAACCATTTGTTAAAATCCTGAGAATTGTTGATGGGGACATGCCAGCCATGGGCTATATGTATGAAAGCATAGAGAGGGCCAAGGTTGGCATAAAGGCCTACTATAAAGGAGTTGAAGAGAAGTATATGCCGGTTTGGGATATGATCGAGCGGAGATGGAACATGCAGCTCCACTCATCCTTGCACGCAGCTGCAGCATTCCTAAATCCTTCGATATCTTACAACGCAAGTTTTAAGATGGATTTGAGATTGAGGAATGGGTTCCAAGAAGCAATGTTGAAAATGGCTACCACAGACAATGATAAGACGGAAATAACCAAGGAACTTCCGAAGTACATTAATGCACTAGGTGCTCTTGGGACAGATTTCGCAATTATGGGAAGGACATTGAACGCCCCAGGTATGAGGCTGGATGGGAGAAGGAAATACTTTTCCCATTCTCTTTTCATATATGATAAGTAAACACACCCATGTGATTGGAAGAAAGGATTATTTGTCCTGCTCAGCCGACAAATAGGCTACCCCCCTAGGCTTCTTTTTCTCAATTGGATTAAACCACAAAATTTCTTATATAGCTTTGTTAAGTTTTCAGCCAGTAATTATGTAGGACTTATACACAAGATCGTTTTAGTAGTTAACTTATAATGATTTCTATTCCTAAAGTTAGTAAACATTAGAAAGTAAAAGAAAGGGAATTAGGTTGTTTCTATTCCAAATTTCTATTAAGCAAATAAATGATAATAGAAGCGGAATCAAGCATCTCTTTTCCATTCTTTTCATTTCCCAAACTTTTCACTTTCCATTACGTCCCTTTACACATTAGTAAACACGCCTTTAATAGAGCTGATAGTTGACATTACACAAGTTGTGTAATCACTCATCTCATCTATATCCAAAGTCAGAGTGAAGAGAGATAATTTTTATACTGGATAAGTTCGTAATATTCATGTGCTTCTATATTTTTCTATTTTTGATGTGGGTTTTGTTCCTAGGACAAGACAACTATACATTTTTATCTTTCTAGTCTTTCGGTACAAAATACAACAGATAAACCGACTTTTATCCTATTTTCTTCACCCATTTTCAGGTGATTGGTGGGCAGGATATGGATATGAAATCCCCACTCTTCAGAGAGCTGCAATAAGGATATTGAACCAAACTTGCAGTTCACATTGGTGCCTGTGGAATTGGACCACCTTTGAGAGCATTCACAACAAGAATCGTAACAGAGAAGAAATGGAGAAGTTGAAAGATTTGGTGTTTGTGCATTGCAATATGTGGTTGCAGGGAATATGTCAAAGTAGAGGTGGAAAATGTAAACCCGTTATCTTTGATGAAATAGATGTTAGCTCTGAGTGGCCCACCGAGTTGGACCCTTCTGTCCCACTTTTGGATGATTCATGGTTGGACAATTTACCCTTTGATTCTAGGACTATTCCCTGAAGAATGCAATATCAGAAAAATGTATGCATGCATGTATGTATGATTTTGAATTTTTTTATCTTGTATGAGAAAATAGATGGTGTATGGTATTTATGATATAGGTGACATAAATAAGTCCAGTGGTTGGTCCGTGGACGTTTCCATTATTGGCATCTTTTACGTATGACCACATTTATTTATTGTCTTCTCTTCAACTTATTTTATAGGCTTAGTGCCTTAGTCGCTTGGATGGCTCCACTCCGCTTTGTTCTTTTTGTCCTTTTTTTATTATTTTTTCATTTTTTTTATTTTAAGTGAATAGGTCTTTAGATCATCTTTAAGGCAAATGTCAGTAACAATGATATATTTGATGCAAAAAGTGTAGGAATAATATGTTTGACATGTTGATCCATTATGTGTGACAAAAAATGGGGTTAATTTAAACATTAAGCAGAAAATGAAAGTAGTAATTATTAAGGAAAAAAGCAATCACATCAAATACTAACGATCAAATGTCAAAATTTGTAATTTGTTATATTTGAGATTAAATTTGGCACAAATATAATATATGTTAAGTTTAGCACTGAAAATAATACATCATCATCCATAAATAGTTTTTTTTTTTGTTTTTTTTAATCTAAATGCCAATTTCATTAGTTTAGAAAATACTAAGACTAATATTTCTAACACTATCTTTATCATTTTCTCAATTCAATGTTGGACACATTACTCCACTAAAATAATATATTATTATTTAATCAGAAAATAAAATAATGAAACTCACGTGTTAAAGCATTTTTTTTATTAGTTTATCGTTGTATATAGATGCTCTTCAAGAGAGAAAAACATCAATCGGAATCTTTTGCTGATATTTTACGTATATCAAGTAAATAATAAGCTTAAAATGTTTATCAACACTTCAAAAGAAGTATCGTTCCAATTCAACTACGACAAGGTATGTGACAATCGAGGTTTTTTGAGATGATTTTTGACAATAAAGACAATATTTGTATGAGAGTTTCTGAGCTGATTCTTAACTTATATGACGTATTATTATTTGTATTATTAGTATTAAAATAGAAAGATCTATAAGACCATTTCAACGCGTTCCAATTAAATCTACAGAAAAAAAACAATAATAATAATGTGACCCAATTAAAAAATATTTCCACAGTTTCATTGGAATACACGATTCTCCATTATTGGCCATTTGGCCCTTCTTATTATTTCAAAGCCATTTAAGTGTAAAACATTCAATTGACTCTTTTGTTTCTTACCATTTAGTCTAAAATTATTTAGAAAAAACACACAATCTTGCCGTTAATAAAATCTGAAAAACCATTTATTCCGAAACCCATTTTTTCTGTGATATAGCAAGAAACTTGACGGATAATTAATACTATTGTTATGAGCCGTGGATTAACGTGAACTCAGGCTCACAATAAAATCAAAGATATTATCTTGATTATTCCTAGAAAACAAAATATTTTCAAGCCACAATATATGTATATATATATATATATGTTGAGGCTAAAATTGAATTTGTACGGGGTCTATAATAAAACTTGGAAAGAGTAGAATGTAGAATAGAAAATAAGAACTTCCTGTGGGGCATTTATAGTGATAAACGCAAGTAATTATAGCTGCAAACTTGCAATGAAACAATTTCCAATGTGTATTCTTACGTCTTAGGAGATAAGAAATAACTATAAGATAGATTCCTTCTGAAATATGATTTTTTACATCCCAATAACGTTGGCAAACCCAATCAAACAATCAAATAAATAAATGCTTGAACACTCTAGCACCGATAATATATACATCAATGTGTATTATATGATATTGATGTAAAACAGTCCCATTGAATTAATCTAATAACACCATTAATAGATAATTAAATATTGATTTGTTATTAGCTCTCATTGTTAAAAATTTCTGACTCTTTCTTATTAATATATATATATATATATTCTGATTATGTCTGTGGCGGTGACGAAGGCTATCAAGTTTTTAAATACACCACCATTAATAGATAATTAAATATTGATTTGTTATTAGCTCTCATTGTTAAAAATTTCTGACTCTTTCTTATTAATATATATATATATTCTGATTATGTCTGTGGCGGTGACGAAGGCTATCAAGTTTCTAAATACACAACATTGGGGACACAGTTTATCACGGACTTACGATCAAATGACTTAAAAAATGACTTAAAATGTTGATTAGCAAAGCCAAAGGACCACTAAAAATCCCTTACCCAAGATGCTGAACAAGTAGCAAAGGCTAACTGACAAAAACCTTATTACTTCTAAGCGTGTCAATTTGTGTTAGTGAATCATGTTCGTGTCGATCTATTTATTAATTGTGTCAGAAAATATCAACCCAAACATGTCTTGTTTATTAAATTTATTAAAAATGTCAATCCAAACACGACTCATTTATTATTCGTGTCAACCCCTATAACCCATTTAAATTAATATATTGAATAAATAACTAATATAATAATGACTTATTTAATCCGGTCAAGACATGTTTAACATATTTATTAGTCAAGTTATCTTTTTCTTTAAGAAAAATAAATGAATTTTACCTACAAATATTAAAATTCACATTATTTGTATTTAATATGTCATATAAACATTCATATTATATCACATATCATTAAATTACAAATGAAATATATAATTAATCGTGTCATTTCGTATTAGGAGATCAATACTAACTCTATATTTATTAATCATGTTAATCATGTCAACCTGATTATCACCTAAATACATTTATAATAAATTTAAATTCGTTAATTTCGTACGAATTTTAAATCGCGTCGATGCCGAATTGTGATCTCTAATTACTTCACACCAGACCCATCCTAGATTCTGGACCATGCACTCACAACAAAGAGGCACCGCTATATGATAAATATCAATTATTTATTTCTTATAAAAATATATTAGCGGCGGTAACGCTACGATGTGAACTGAGTTCCTTTAAAAAGTTCCAATCTTGCTCCACTTTCTCAGAGCTCAGACCAGACCAGACCCAAATTCAATCCTTCCCATTCCCAAGAACCCACCATGGAACTGAAAACAACTCCAACGTCCGTACAAGATCTCATAAGCACCGTCGTATCATCGTTGAAACAAAACGACACCTTCACTCCCATGTTTTACACTCTCTCCGCTCGCCTCCTCCTCTCCCTCTTTCTCCTGTTCAAGCTCCTCCTCGCCGCCTCCCGATCCCGCCACGTCCGCCTGCCTCCAGGCCCACGGGCCCTTCCCCTGCTGGGAAACCTCCTTGATCTGGACCCGGAGCTCCACTCCCACTTCGACGCCCTGGCCCAAACCCACGGCCCAATATTCAAGCTCCATCTCGGCAACAAGCTCGGCATTGTAATCACCTCGCCCGCCTTGGCCCGCGAGGTTTTGAAAGAAAACGACGTCGTTTTTGCCAACCGTGACGTCCCTGTGGCGGGTCGGGTCGCCACCCAGGGCGGCCACGACGTCGTTTGGACGCCTTACGGCCCCGAATGGCGGATGCTGAGGAAGGTCTGCGTCCTCAAGATGCTCAGCAACACCACCTTGGATTCCGTCTACGGTCTCCGGCGACGGGAGGTACGGAAAACCGTCGGATACTTCTACAGTCGGGTCGGGTCGGAGGTCAACGTGGGCGAGCAGATGTTTTTGACGATTCTCAACGTGATCACGAGCATGCTTTGGGGTGGGACCGTGGACGGGGCCCAGGAGAGGGAAAGTTTGGGGACTGAGTTTCGGCAGGCCGTTTCGGAGATGACGGATCTGTTGGGGAAGCCCAATCTGTCGGACTTTTATCCGGGGCTGGCTCGGTTTGACTTGCAGGGGGTAAGGAGGCAGATGATTGGGCTGACCCAGAGATTTAATGGGATTTTTGATAAGATGATTGGTCAACGGAGTTTGAAGATGGAGAAGGAGAGAGAAGATGGAGGAGAGTCAAAGAGTAAGGACTTTTTGCAGTTTTTGTTGGAGTTGAAAGATGAGGAGAATTCGAATACACCTTTTACTATGGTCCACGTCAAGGCCTTGTTGATGGTATGTTGCTATGTTTTATTTGCTTCATTTATTCTATTTATTATTTAGATTTAAGAATTTTCATTGTGATTTATAATTTAGTGAGAGAATTAATTTTAAAGTTAAAAAGAGTTCACTCACTATAGGTATGAGAAAATATTCTCCCTATTATTATGGTATAATTGTCAGATTTCGAGTTATATTGGTATTTATTTTTATAATCTAAATGAACTTAATGTGACGTTAAAAATTATGTCTTACAAGTAATGACAGGAATTTTTAAATTTCATAATAAGCTAAAAGTAGAAATAATTTTTCTTTACAAGAAATAAATAATTTTGGATAAGTTTTGGTGTGGCAAGTTAGATGTCTCCTAGAAGAAAAAAAAAAAAGGCAGTGTAATTATTTTATAATGTTTTTAAACTTAATAGAATCTTTATGAGTCTGTAGGAAATTTTAGACGATGTATGTATCTACTATGTACTTTTTCTTTCAAGTATGTGTATCATGCTTGTTGGAGTTTGTGCGTTTTTTTTTTTCTTCTTCTTCAGCATTGTTCGTGTATGCATGTATGTTTTTAATCAAGCATACATTTATCAAAAAAGTATGTTTTTAATCAACCAACTGTAGGTTGTTAATTTGACATGGACGAAAAATATAAACCTTGAATTTCCTCGCTTTTACTTAAATCAGTGTTTGTCAAACTGTTGATTAGAGACAAGCATGAATTGGTGGATTTACGTACGATGTTGTTCAATGCTTGAACAGGATATGGTCATAGGTGGAAGTGATACATCCTCAAATGCAATCGAGTTTTCCATGGCTGAAATTATGAACCAACCCGAGATCATGAACAAGGCACAACAAGAACTAGAAACCGTTGTCGGCAAAGACAACATAGTAGAAGAGTCCCACATTCACAAACTCCCTTACTTACAAGCCGTGATGAAGGAAACTCTGAGGCTGCACCCAGTCCTGCCCATGTTAGTCCCTCACTGCCCTAGTGAAACTTGCACCGTTGGGGGCTACACCGTCCCGAAGGGCTCTCGGGTTTTCATCAACGTTTGGGCTACACAAAGAGACCCTTCCATTTGGGAAAACCCTTTGAAGTTTGATCCAGAGAGATTCTATAACAACACCAAGTGGGACTTTAGTGGAAGCGACTTTGAATATTTCCCATTTGGATCCGGCAGAAGAATTTGTGCCGGAATTGCTATGGCTGAGAGGATGGTCTTATACTCTCTTGCTACGTTTTTACATTCTTTTGATTGGAAATTGCCTCGTGGAGAGAAGATGGATCTTTCCGAGAAATTCGGGGTTGTGCTGAAAAAGAAGATTCCTCTCGTTGCTATTCTTACTCCAAGGTTGTCCGATCCAACACTTTATGAGTAGACCCTAGTGTTTCGTTAGTTTGTCCTAAGTTCGCTGGTACTGTGCGGTTTTAGGCTCTCAAATTATAGTCGAATTATATAAAAATTGTAAAGTTAAGAAAATTTCATGAAAGATTTGAATGTTCAAAATTTTACAGTAATTTGGTGAGTTTTTCTCCTTTTTTTTAATTTTTTAATTTTTATTTTCTACTAGAATTCTTCATGTTCTATCTATATGTAATATATATTGTTTGGAGCTTCTCACTTTCATAGTACTCATGATCAAACGAGAATTGCTCGTGTATACTTTTGAATATAGTTTGCCTACAGAAGATATGATTAATGTTGTGCACTTCCAGGTACAATACGCAAGCAAAAGTTTCTACGGATGTGTTCTCTCTATTTTGATTTTCGTTTCTTGTGCTTTCAATAATGATGGGGAAAAGAACAATAGTAGCTAGTTGAGAAGAGTGAAAAGCAACTATTTTTTTTTTTTTTTTTCTCGGCAGTTTTATCTCGGAGAAACCAAGTTAATGTTATGTGTTTTAAGTTGTAAGATATTTGAGTATCTTATTGGAGAATAACTTTTAGAGAAATAGTATTTAGTAGGAGATTTTATGTGATCATATTTAGAGATGCTATTTCAATTATTTGAAGAATGGGAAGTGTGGAATGAAGTGATTTATTTACATTTTACTTGATTTTAGATTAAAAAAAAAAGAGTTGGACGGCCTTATAGTCATATGTAATTTGTTTATTTTCTTTTCTAAAAAAAAACATGTGTTTTAGATTTTTTTTTTTTAAATCATAAAAAATTGCTATAGATAGTGACATGGGAATATGCCAATTGAAGACTTCTTATCCGATTCTTGATACCAAAGACAACTTCTCAAGCAAAAAGACAATCCAATCATATAAGTAACAAAAAATATAATTAAAGAGAAAGTTGTTAAAAATTATTCATGACATTAATGGTCGAACAAACGAACACTGCTATTGTTAGGGAGACACCACATGCGTAATTGGCCAATACATTTTAAAAGTTCTATTTGACCCAAAAAATTAATCTATTAGGTCTTAGATTATTCTATATATATAAATCATTTCACATCTTCATCTACTTTAATGACTAAAATTAAAACATATGATTTCAACTCAGATTTTTTAGAACTCAAAAAAGAGGTCTCGTATAGCTCATGCAAGACCAAGATAATAGAAAAATAGTCCGTCAATTCAGAACTAGGAAGCAAAATCATGAAGGAAAAACTCAATAGGACCGTATATATTTACCGATGAGAATTGATATTTTCAAACGTATATTATCATTTTTCCCTATGGACCATATATCAATAGGAAGTTTGAGAGAAACTAAGCAAGCATATTGCTCGTGTCACATATTTAATTAGTATTGGCAGCTTCAGCTGATCACAATCATGAGAACTTTCTTCGTTGCCTGGCCACTCGTATATCCAAGTCCAACTCTACCTCCGTTCCTCAACCCACTATCTATACTCCAAATGATTCCTCGTATTTCATTGTGTTGAATTCATCCATACAAAATGATCGTTTTTCTTCTCCTTCGACCCCAAAACCATTTGTTATCGTGACCCCATCTCATGCCTCCCACATTCAAGTCACCGTTCTTTGCTCCAAGAAACATGGTATGCAAATTAGAACCCGAAGCGGTGGCCATGATTATGAGGGTCTTTCTTATGTGTCCAATATCCCGTTTGTTGTAATTGACTTGAGAAACCTAAGATCGATCAGCGTAGACGTGGAGAGCAAATTGGTGAACTTTATTATAGGATTGCAGAAAGAAGTGAAAATCTCGCCTTTCCTGCCGGCGATTGCCACACTGTGGGTATTGGAGGACAGATCGGTGGAGGAGGCTACGGCTATTTGACTCGTAAATATGGCCTTACAGCAGATAATGTTCTTGACACGGAATTAATCGATGTTAAAGGAAGAATTCTTAATAGGAAATCTATGGGTGAAGATTTGTTTTGGGCCATACGTAGTGGTGGACCAGCAAGCTTTGGAATCGTTCTTGCATGGAAACTTCGACTAGTTACTGTGCCATCGACAGTGACTGTGTTTGATGTGAGGAGGAACATGGAGGGCGATGCAACAAAGAAGCTTTTTCATCAATGGCAACGCCGTGCTGACAAAGTCGATGAGGATCTATCAATTTATGTAAGGTTCCAAACTGAGAGTTCTATTGATAAAGAAGGTAATAAGAAAATTGTGCTGGCAGCTTACTTTCGCGCCACATTTCATGGCGGCATGGATAGGCTCCTTGAATTGATGCAGAAGGAGTTTCCCGAATTGGGTTTGCTAAGACAAGAGTGCACTGAAATAAGATGGGTCAAATCCTTTCTCTATCACAATTTCTTCAGAAATGGAGAATCATTAGATGTTCTACTTAATAGGATATCTAATTACAATATGTCCTCATTCAAAGCTAAATCCGAATTTGTGAAAGAGCCTATTGCAGATGATGCATTCAAAGAAATGTTGGGAAGGTTGTACGAAGAAGAGGTAGGAGGAGTTATGATTGATCTATTTCCTTTCGGAGGGAAAATGAACAAGATTTCAGAATCGGCAATCCCATTCCCATACCGAGCTGGAAACCTCTACAACATTCATTATTTAGTACTATGGGAAGTGGTGTGACAAACGCAAATTAAATGGATTTAAAACACAAGCATTCATCATGATCATTTGGGGATATTAATCGATAATACATACAGTCATACGATATAAGAACGGCCGGTCTAGTTAAATTGGGGTTTATATATACATAAACAAACCTACAATATTTTACACATTAATCTGCTGCATTAAGAACATTGACCATTTACACATTAAATTGCTCTACTAATTCTGGTCCGTCATGTGATATCCAAGTCCGACCACTTCATGAGAAAGTAATCTTCCACATTAATAATTAAATTAATCAATATTTTGAATCACAATCGGACAGCAAAGCATCAATTTCTCTCTCTCTCTCTCTCTCTCTCTCTCTATTTTGAATCACAATCGGACAGCAAATCATCATATGCAGAATATACATATTCTGTATATGATGATGATATATGGAACTGCATGTCTAAGGGTGGAAAGAAAAAAAAAAATCAAGGTGATCAATGGCGAAAATGAAGGGCTCAACATCTACTACTACTAGTTTAGCCTTGAAAGCTTATTATGATATTTACAAGTTCGCGGTGTTTGTGGTGGCCGTTCTTGGAACGACGTCGTCGGCAAGGGCGGAGCGGCAGACCAACGCCTACGCGACGATGATGTACATGGGGACGCCCAGGGACTACGAGTTCTATGTGACGACACGTGTCTTGCTGAGATCGCTTTCCAGACTACACGTGGACGCCGATCTCGTCGTTATTGCCTCCCTCGACGTCCCTCTCCGTTGGGTTCATGCCTGGTAAGTCGATGCATTTACTTGCCTTTTACTTTTCTTTTTCAAGTTTTTTCAATTTGCATGGTAGATCATTAGAGTCTTTTTTGATCAGCTAATTGGAGACGTCTAATTGTTTACAAACACACACACATACACACACATATTTATATCTACAAGGATAATGATTTTCCATTATTGGCCATTTGGCCCTTCTTATTATTTCAAAGCCATTTAAGTGTAAAAATAATGACACCATTCAATTGACTCTTAGTTTCTTACCATTTAATCTAAAATTATTTAGAAAAACACACAATCTTGCCGTTAATAAAATCTGAAAAACCATTTATTCCGAAACCCATTTTTTCTGTGATATAGCAAGAATCTTGATGGATAATTCATACTATTGTTATGAGCCGTGGATTAACGTGAACTCAGGCTCACAATAAAATCAAAGATATTATCTTGATCTTTCCTAGAAAAAAAAATATTTTCAAGCCACAATATATATATATATATATGTTGAGGCTAAAATTGAATTTGTACGAGGTCTACAATAAAACTCGAAAGAGTAGAATGTAGAATAGAAAATAAGAACTTCCTGTGGGGCATTTATAGTGATAAACGCAAGTAATTATAGCTGCAAACTTGCAATGAAACAATTTCCAATGTGTATTCTTACGTCTTAGGAGATAAGAAATAACTATAAGATAGATTCCTTCTGAAATATGATTTTTTACATCCCAATAACGTTGGCAAACCCAATCAAACAATCAAATAAATAACAAAAATAAATAAATAAATGCTTGAACACTCTAGCACCGATAATATATACATCAATGTGTATTATATGATATTGATGTAAAACAGTCCCACTGAATTAATCTAATAACACCATTAATAGATAATTAGATATTGATTTGTTATTAGCTCTCATTGTTAAAAATTTCCGACTCTTTCTTATAAATATATATATATATATATAAATATATATATTCTGATTCCGCCTGTGATGGTGACGAAGGCTATCAAGTTCCTAAACACACGACATTGAGGACACAGTTTATCACGAACTTACGATCAAATGACTTAAAAAAATGACTTTAAATGTTGATTAGCAAAGCCAAGGGACCACTAAAAATCCCTTACCCAAGATGCTAAACATGTACCAAAGGCTAACTGACAAAAACCTTATTACTTCTAAGGATGTCAGTTCGTGTTAGTGAATCGTGTCGTATTAACCTGTTTATTATTCATGTTAGAAAACATCAACGCAAACATTACATGGTTATTAAACGTTTATAAAATGTCAATCAAAACACGACTCATTTATTAATCATGTCAACCTCTATAACCCGTTTAAATTAATATATTAAATAAATAATTAATATAATAATG